ATTTTTTTTGCTGTTGTTTTTTTTTTTGTTTTGTTTTGTTTTAATTATTTTTATATCTGTTTTATTCTATGATCTTCTACGTAGGTAGTATATTTGGGTTTTCATTCCATACAGCACTACAAAATTATTATTTCTAGAAAAAATTATACTTGAAATGTATTGCTCTGAGTATTAGACAAACTCAGTAGAAATGAATCCTTTGCCTGAGTATTGTGGGAAAAGACCATCTATGAATTTGAAACTGACTTCAAGAGTAAAAGAAAAAAACCAAAATATACCAAATGTAAGCCAATCCGTGACCCAAGTGAGGACAAGGAAGGGAAACAGAGAAAGAACACATAAAAATATTTTTAAACATATATCGACTAGAGAATTCTGGGACTTCCTTTTTCTTTTTAAAGTTTTTATTTAAATTCCAGTTAGTTAACATATAGTGTAATATTAGTTTTAGTAGTAGAATTTGGTGATTCATCTCTTACGTAAAACACCCAACACACATCACAACAAGTACCCTCCTAGCACCCATCACCCATTTAACCCACCTCCCTTCCTAGCTCCCCTCCAGCAACCTTCAGTTTGTTCTCTATAGCTACGAGTCCGTTTTATGGTTTGCCTGTCTCTTCTCCCCCCATGTTCATCTGTTTCATTTCTTAAATTCCACATATGAGTGAAATCATATGGTATTTGCCTTTCTCTGACTGACTTATTTTGCTTGGTATAATATACTCTAACTCCATCCACATCATTGCAAATGGTGAGATTTTATTCTTTATATGGCTGAGTAATATTCCATTATATATATATTCCATTATACGTTGGAATATATTATAATTGCATTCCAGTAATATTCCACCATATATATTCCATTATATAATATATATAATATACATAATGCTACTATATATATATATATATATATATATATATATATATATATATAGCTGCTATATAGACAGATGATAGGTAGACCGATAGATAATGCTGCTATAAACATGGGGTGCATGTGTCCCTTTCAAACGTTCACTATTCGCAGGAAACATGTTTCTCCATGTAGAAGACCCAAAAGACTCAACAAAAAAACATTACTAGAACTGATACATTCAGTAAAGTCACAGGATACAAAATCAATGTACAGAAATCTGTTGCTTTTCTATACACCAAAATGAAGCAGCAGAGAGAGAAATCAAGGAATCGATCCCATTTATAATTGCACTATAAATGATAAGATCTCAAGGAATAAACATAACCAAAGAGGTAAAAAATCTGTACTCTGAAAACTATAAAACACTTGTGAAAGAAAATGAAGATGACACAAAGAGATAGTAAAACATCCTATGCTCCTGGATTGGGAGAACAAATATTGTTAAAATGTCTATACTACCCAAAGCAATTTACCCATTTATTGTGCCTTCTTATAAGAGTAAGAGAAAACATAAAGTCTTATATTTAAATCTAGTATCTATTTTATTAGGAAGCCCTGTACCATAATAGGCAATATGATTAAGAATTTTAAGATGAGGACAGCCCGGGTACCTCAGCGGTTTAGCGCAGCCTTCAGCCCAGGGCCTGATCCTGGAGACAAGAAATCGAGTCCCGCCTCAGGCTCCCTGCCTGGAGCCTGCTTCTCCCTCTGCCTGTGTCTCTGCCTCTCTCTCTGTGTGTCTCTCATGAATAAATAAATAAAATCTTAAAAGAAAAGACTTTTAAGATGATTTCTCAATCTTTTGCCAAATTCTACCTTTTTCAGGAAGGTTTACATAACTATGTTCTATTTTATTTTATAGGACTGCTTCTCATTTGTTAATTGAACATATATTTAAGCATCAGTTAAATATGTGACACCATTGCTAAGTATTTCTTGTCTCAAAATCTAGGCAATCCAGCATCTTAAATTGAAAAACTCGCATACTCTTGTAGTAGTCTGTGACAAATTTAATATATTTTCACTATATAATACAGGAATAATGTATATGAATGATTCTTACCTAACCATTATGCTTTCAAGTGGATTAATATATTTCAATATTTAAGGAGCAAAAATCTTTTATTTCACAAGGATTTACTATTAAGAATGCTATGGATGCATATACCAATGCTTGTGGCCATTTCCAATTATAATAACAGCCATTTACAGGCCAAATTTTGGCCAATAGGCTGTAGTTTGTGGGCCATGGATTTAGAGTTCATCTGATTTTCTTTATTCTTTATAGACTGACCTTTTATAATACAATTAAAGTACTGGAAGACGAAATTACAAATATTAAACACAAGTATGAATTTGCATTTTTAGGGTCACCAGAAAATAAGTTACTCTCTCAATTTGAGATTACCGTAAATGCTCACTTCTAGTCTCGTGCTCTCTGGCAGAGTGGCGACAGTGGGCCACGCTTTGAGGAGCTCTGTTCGGAGCAAAAGACAATGCCTCACATCTCTCCAGGTGAAGCCTCTTGTCTTTACAATTTTGGATGAGTACCCCTCACATTCTGAGCTGTTAGTCTTTGGTTTTTCCAAACATATATATTTTGATAAAATATGCTCACAAGTCCAGCATGGCCAGCTCATTTTAAGGTCCTGAACTTTTCAATGATTCAGTGATACACATAGTTGCTAAAACCAGCCTTACCTGGAGATTGAATTTATCATTCATATATTAACCATAAGTTCTTGTTTGTCTGTTTTTAAGCTTAGATTGATAGCATCTTTCATCTTAGATATCTCTGAAATATTTTATTCATTTTGTATCTATAGTTTAGCCTTTCCCAGGTACAGGATAGAAATGCACATACCAACTAGTGAGCATAAATGTTAAGCAATTGGACATAGCATCTTCTTTTCCATAATAAATACATTAATCATATATATACACACATTAATACATTAATCTTATAGGTATATGTAAACATACATATCTATAAACATATTAATCTAATTATAAGGAATTGAACATTAAAATTCCACTTCGTATTCCTTCTCACTACTTTATAATTATATTTGACCTTTGTACTCACCACTACTGTGTTGACTGATTGGCTAACTTCTCTTCTATTACTTTCTGCCTTCTGACCTTCAAAAACTAGACAGCCTGATTAGTGATAGCTGGAAAGAGGCATTCTCTGCAATTATTTTTTTTTTGTTAATCAAATCATGAGCAACATTCAGTTTCTTCTTATGTTAATATCTGATTCCTTGTCTGAATTGAGTAATTATCTTAGAAAATATATTATTTTCTAGGCAGAATTAATGCAAATTGTTTGTATTGTGATGATGTAGGAGTTAGAAAATCTGAATTCAAAGAGAATTTAAACTCATGAAATCAACCTATCTGGAAAAATAAAGAGTATATTTAACTTTAATATCATTTTATGTTATGTAAATCCTTATTTAATTTGATTATTTGAAATAAGACATTTATACCACTTCATAAATTATTTTAAGTTGTAATTAGACAGTAAGCAAGAGTTTTACTTTAAAAAAAAAGAAAAGAAAACCTTCCAGGTCAATAAAATGATCACAGAATGATAATCAGTAAGTTGCATAAACATTATAAAAAAGACGAGTATAGTTACAAGAGATTAAAGATGTAAAAGTTTTAGTAAACGTATCACAGAGAAAAAGCACTTAGGAATTTACATTAAATAGAGTATAATATTCTATATAATTAAATTTAAAAGAGAGTTATTGATGTAAAATCATTTTATTTAAAAAAAATGGGTTTGTAAAAAAAAAATGGGTTTGTAAGTAACCCCAGTGACCTACAGTGGGCCAACCTACCTAGTACCAGTACTGTGGAATAATATCCAATGAATTCTATTGCCCATATTTTATCAGTAATACTATTTTCCATTAAAAATACCGAGACCTTTGAGAGGGCAGCTTCCATGAACTGGGATGCAGAAAACTCAAGATATCTTTTAAACATGTGGAGTACCCACTGAGAAAATGTGATAATGTGTCTATCAAAAAGGGAAATAATTCTAGCAAGTTTTACAACTTGAGTTTGCATGTATAAAGTCTTGAGAATATTAGTACAAGAAAATTAATATTACTGTAAAATTTACAAAAAACACAATTGGTGGGGAGCCTGGGTGGTTCAGTTGCTTAAGCATTGATTGTAATTTCAGCAGTAAAGAAGATGGCCAAAACAAAAATCATGCAAAGTTTTATTAATTGTAATAAATTGTGAAGTGCGGAGATATGTGGATCTTCCTTTTCATCTGCTCTCTGCCTGTGTGTTTACGAAGCAAGGGATGTGGTTTCTACTATCTATCATAGTGGAGACAGATGGATCCAGAAAATCTTAAGCAAGCCAAGCAGTTAATAGGTTTCACTGGGCACTTATCTTTTGTTTTCAAACGAGAAATTTGAGTGCAAGGCTGGAAGAATTGAGTTTAATTCTTCCAAAATTGTCATAAAAAATTAATTAGCTGTATATTCTCCAACTTTCTGTAAAACCACAGAGTTCTAACATTTTCACTGTTGAACTCAGAGTTGGTGTCTGTAGCCAGGTCCACCCAGTATTTCCCTCATCCTCTCTTTAATGCAGTTCTAGGAGTCTCTGAACCCTAGCTTGGAAACAGCAGTTGTAGATATGAGCAAGCTAGGCTTGTGGCCCCAAAGTATTTAACAGAACTGAGTATTTTATTGTTACCAGGACATATTATTAGCCTCTTGAGTTAGCATTATCGGTTAAAGCCTCATCCATTGCTCTGGGATGGTTCTTTAGGATCTTGGAGCACTAACACTCAGAGATGTCTCTGCTATCACCTGAGTCAATGTGCTTTTCAAAGAATATTGCTCTAAATGGGAAAACCATAGCAGCGACCCAGTGGAAAGTTATTCTCTGAATGGTAATGTTGAAAATAGCAATATTACCTCAAAAAACAACATCAAACAAACAAACAAACATCAAACAAGTAGCTTGCAAAATTAAGTTCAGCAACAGCCTAGGCCATAAACAAAGTCTTTGACTGACTAGAAACTTAACCATTGCCTTGTGCATTTATTAGCTAATATTAATGCATCAAGGAGGGAACAAAAGCTCACAAACAATCACACAGTTTCACAAGACACATAGCAGGGAAAAAATGGACTTAAGAAGGATCAACAGTATCCTAGGGTCTTGGTGGATGCATTCCTGGGGGAGGTGGACCTCTAATTCCTGGTGGAGGGGGTCTCATTCCTGGAGGGGGCATGCCTATAGGCGTCCCTCGAGCAGACGGAAGCCCAATTGGTGGGCCCATAGGTGGTCTCATACCAGGTGGAGGAGCCATAATGCCTGGAGGTGGTGTTGCTCGCCCTACAGGAGTGGGTGGGGTCCCCCGTCCTGGTGGGTATTGAGTTGGGGCCCCAGCAATGCTGGCAGTAGCAGCAATTGCAGCAGCTGCTACAGTTCCTCTTCCCTGTGGAGTCATTACCTGTTGGGATGGTCCCCCAACCCCTCGGACAGGGCCTGCTAATCCAGCAGGAGCCTGGGGAATTGGAACACCAGCTGGAACTCCTCTGCCAGCTCTCCTGCCAACCCCAGGACCTCCTGCAGCTCCAGAACAAAGGTATTGCTTTATATGGTTTAGTGGCAGCTCTTCAGTAACAACTGTATATTTAATATTTATACAAGTAGTACCGCCATTCAAGTACCACGTGGATAGGATTAAGAAAATTCTAACAATTATATAGTTAATATTCATATATGTATTGGCCTTTCAACCTATCTTGTAGTTTTCAGAGGCACTATTTCTGTGACCAGATTTATTTTCTTCAACATGGTTTCCATTGCCTGAATATCTATCATGTTAAAACTAAATGTGTTTATTATCTCTGAATAAACTATGGAATCTTGTGCTACTTCAAGCCAAATTTTTATTTATTTATTTTATTTTATTTTATTTTATTTTATTTTATTTTATTTTATTTATTTTATTTTTTAAGCCAAAACTTTATATCTTTCTTCAGCATGGAGGGGCCAAGGTTAGACTGTGGCATAGTGATTATCTAAAATAAAAGTGACAACACACAACCCTTGCAAGAAGGACAGTCAGATGCTCCCCTGTTCCCCGAAAGCAGGAAATAAATCTCCCACGTGAAAAGTACCCTCCCTGTACCAAGAGGTAGACATCCTTATCACCAGAGATAGGATATTTAAAGCCAGGAAGGCTGTATAAAACGCTTCTTATTTTCTACTAATTTGCTACCACACACCAAATTCTGTGTAAAATTCCTTCCTAATTGGTGCTCACAAAGCCAGGTTTTCTTTGTTCTGTCAATTTTTCACAGATTTACTGTCTCTTTGTCTGAAAAGTACAAAAACTGCCTGCCTTGGTCATTCCTTTATTTTCTTTTTGTATTTATTTATTTATTTATTTATTTATTTATTTATTTATTTATTTATTTATTTATTTTTGGTCATTCCTTTAGATCCCAGTTTCATCATGGGATCTCCATGCACATGTGATAAAACTTTTTTTTTCTTCCTATTACTCTCCCTTCTGTAAATTTAATTTTTAGTCCAGCCAGAAGACCTTGAAGGATTAAGAAATAATTTTTCATGTCTTAGAAATGTTTACACTAGGGGATGCCACTTAAAAATCATGCTTTGAAAATCCAGTTTGTGAGTCAATGGGTTTTTAAAAAATTAAACTGAGTAAATAATAGCTCATAATTTAAATAAAATTAAATGTGCATTATGAAATTAAACTTTTGAAATTCTATTTTGTACCTAATGTTCTGTGAGTTTCCTCCATTTTTGAGTGAATGTGTGTGCAGATTACTAAGTATATACCTCAAAAAGTCAATTGTATGATTCACTGAACTGGAGCAAAACACAATATTCAGATATTTGCAATAAGTAAGTTTTTGTATGATCAAGAAAACAAATAATATTATTAGAAGATAAACGTAATTAATCAAGATTGGGGAAATCATCTTTGAATACAAGTCACAGAAGTATTCTTCATTTGCATTTCAGTAGGATTACTTTAATAGTGTACTCAAATTTTATATTTATTATCTATTATGCAGATAATACTGCTTGGGATGTGGAGAATTTCAATGTTCAAAATTCTACTTATGGTGACAGGAGACCAACAAATATATAAAAGTGGAGAGAATATATTTATAATACTGTTTTTTTTTTTAAATTATTTTACATAGAAAATCTTTATGCAGAGAGTGGCACCCAGGGATGGAAACTTAAATCAGAAAGAAAGAAGAGAGGAAGATCATCAGAGAAGATACTGTGAATCAAAAGAAGATCTCCATGAAACCAACACAGAATTCTCTGGTAGAAGCAATGCAAGAGAGATTGGAACACTGGCCGTAGAGTCAACCTAATGTAAGATTTCTGTGATTTAGAGCTAGCCGTAGACCAAATGATAATAAACCTGAAAGGAAATAAGTAAATAAGTAAGCAAATAGGTATAAATGGATTAATAGTTTTACATGTGAATTATCTTTAATGTTTAAGAATTAAAGTTTCTTTAAAGCAAGAAAGAAGAAATAAAAGATGAGGTTCAGAATGGATTTTCCAATTGGAAAAACATCTCTAGGCAACATAGCACAGTGTTTTTCAGCTTTGTATTTCTGTTTTTATTACTGAGGATAGCTCTGTAGTGAATAGCCATCTATAAGACAAATTATTTGTAACTAAAAAATAATATGAATACATATTAATCAAATTAATATTAAAAATACTCAAACAAGAATATCTAACCTCGAAGAATTGAAGGGTCCCCATTCATCTCCCTAGAAGTAAGTAGTTAGGACACTTTTTACTGTGTCCTATGAGGTTTCTCATATACCCCTCATGATTCTAAATATAGGCTTATACTGCAATAATGATTAATCATTTTCAAACACCTATTGATTTCCTATTGTGGGAAATAAGGGTTTATCTCTCTAATCATGTCATACCCTTTTCCTTCTTACATCTTCAGTTGTCATTAAACCACCACTGGGCTAAATCAATACAAGGGCTTACGGTATTTTGATTTTAGGAATATATATTTACACTTGGGCTGAGTGATGTACTATCATTAAGTTGTCTTCAGGTACAACTTTTCATTTTCTTTTTTTTTTTGTATAGAGTGTCACTGATCGTTTTGTTGTATTTCCCAACAAACTCTTTCCACAGCCTCCCCAACCTCTCAGTCACATTTCCACACAAATTGGTTAGTCAACTTGTGATCTCAGTTTGTTTTTGGTGACTAAAGCTTTAATATCACAATCTCTCTGCTTACACTAATGGCCTCAGAGTAAGTTGCTGGGATACACATGCCTATCCTAGTATCCTGGGGATTTTCTTACTTTCCATGCTCTGGTAAATATCATCCTTTGAAGATGCTCTATGTTCTCTTCCTTTTATTGCTTCGCTGAATTAGAGTGCCTGAGAGTTTCTTCATTTTTGTTTTGTTTTGCTTTTGCATATTTTATTTTGTGTTCTTTGATTGCTTGTTGGAATATCCATGCCTACAAAGGTTTTCCAACTGTCTTATCATTTTCTTGAGTATGAGATTCTAGATTAAAAATTATTTTTCTGGGGGTATCTGGGTGGCTCAATGGTTGAGCATCTGCCTTCCGCTCAGGTCATGATCCCGGGGTCCTGGGATGGAGTCACGCATGGGGCTCCAGTGGTAGGGGGAGCCTGCTTCTCCCTCTGCCCTGTGTCTCTGCCTCTCTCTGTATCTCTCTTGAATGAATAAGTAAATTTTAAAAACGTATTTTTCTGATACATTATGATAATCTTATTCCTTTGAAATGAAAACCTATCCCTTCCTCATGCTACTATATCTTCGTTTCCCTACTGCTCTTCCGTGTTCCACCCAAATGTCATCGACTGATGAATGGGTAAATACAATATGGTATATCCAATGAATGGAACATGATTGCTTCACTCTTTCCTTGTCCTTTTACTTTCTTCTTTGACTGATATCTCTGTTAGTTATTTAGGTCAGTGGTTGCAGAGTGTTGGTAATTGGCAAGATCAGCACATGTGAATGAGTTATCCAACAAAATGTAAGTGATCATTCATGATAACAGCATTTGCAACTACTTGACATGTTAATAACAGACAATTGTGCCATAGTGCCACTGTTTCACACCTGCTAGCATTACTATAATCAAAAAGATAACAAAACATGGTGGTAAGAATGTGAGAAACTGGAACCCTCTTACTTTGGAAAAGGCTGGCAGTTTCTCAAAAGATTAAACATATCTACCATATGACCCCGCAATTTTTATCCCAGATATGTACCTGATGAAGAAAAAACATGTGTATACCAAATTCATAGCAGCATTATTTATTAAAAAAATGGAAACAAGCCAAATATCCATCAGTTGGTGAAAAAATAAAACATGATATCTCCACACAATGGAATATGAATTGTCACTAAAAGGAATGGAATATTGAAATATGCAAGAATATGAATGAACCTTGAAACATGCTAAACGAAAAGAGTCAGTCACAAAAGACTGACATATTGTATGATTTTATTCATATGAAAGTTCCAAATTGGTGAATATATAGAGATAGAAAGTATTTTGGTGACTGCCTAAGCCTGTGGGTAGGGGTGGAAGAATATGGTTGTGACTACCCATTGGCTTAATTAAATGTGCTAATAACTGTATTCTAAAGTAGTCTGTGGTGATGACTACACAAATCTGTGAATATACTAAAAAGAACCCTTTCATTATATACCATAAATAAATGAATTATGTGATATTTGAATTATATTGTAAAACATATGTAACAAAGTTCAGAGCAGCATTATTCATAAAAGCCCAAAAATGGAAACAAATGCCCATCCTTGTGTGTGTGTGTGTGTGTGTGTGTGTATTTATATATTAGGATTTGGATTATGTATCCATGTATCTATCTATCATCTACCTATAACAATTGGGATATGGTTTAATTCCTGAAATATATCTAAAACCAATTATTATTCATTGAGATATAACCAGACTTACTTGGAAATAACAGCTTTGTATAATCTTGCATCACTTTTTCTTGATTTATATATTATTTTACCTGGGATAAAAATCAGTAAGTGTATCAGAAATGACCTATTTGTTATATTTGTATATTATAAGCCAAATTAATAAGCTCACTTTTATACTCAAACATAAGCCAGAACTGACCTTTCCTTCTGTGTTGCCAATTTAAGCAAAAAAATATCCTTTCATTACCAGAATTCTGTGCAGTAATTGGAGCAAACTTCTCACCTTGATTCTACCTAGAAATGATCTGTCACTATATCCTCATACTCTGAACACTGTGATGAAAATGACTCTCATGAACCACAATGCAGCAGTTTTTACATTTAAATAACTTATGAAAATGCCAGTGGCCCTCTATTCCAAAACGTAGTTTGTCGGTACCACAATACAGTTAAAATTTGCTGAAGGATAATGAGCAATGGGAGCTTTTGAGAGATTTTTAGATTAGCATAATTAAAAAAAAGACTTTATTCACAGTCTAGAATCTAAGAACATCGATCTACTAACTTGATTGTGCTATGGTTATGGTGTTTCCACCATTAAATTTAGACTGATATAATTCTGGTATTTCATTGTATTAATTATGAGCTGTGTCCTTTCATAAATCCTGTGAGCACCTGTTTCCTCCTTCTATCTAGAAAACAGATTAATTAGTTTGAACCAAGGGAGAAGCAGCTATTTCAGTTTCTCATAACCTTAGAAACTGGGTTTGTTTCTGAGAATAAAATTAGGCATCGTGGATTGCTAAGGTCATGACGAATAAATTAGCAATGATACACCATAGTGCAGTGTAAAAGGACTTCTTCACTTTTGAATGTCTTTAATGTGGTATGTAAATAACTCAGCTAGAAACTATGTAAGTTTGGGTGAGCAATTTGTATATACATAAATTTTAATTCTTTAGTCTAAAATTTGCTGTACGGGTACATGAGCATGACCTTTTATATAATTTCATAATGACTATGAGAATACAAATGGTATGAATCTGCTTGTAAGTATATACATATTATATTTATATTATACTATATATATATACTATATATATACTATAGTATACTGTATATATTATATATGTATACTCCCATCTCATCCATATGTCTACCGTCCTTAATATATGTATTAGAGACGGTAGACATATGGATGTACATGTGCCCCCACCAGAAATCATATGTTGAAACTTAAACCTCCAATACCCCAGAATATGATAATATTTGAAGAATGGTCTTTAAAAAGGTGATTGAGTTAAAATGAGGCCATCTGGGTAGGCTATAACTTAATAGGACTGGCATCTTTATAAGAAGAAAGTATGAGGACCCACCCAGAGATACCAGGAACACTCACCCCAAGAAAATGTGAGGACCCAGTGAGAAGGTGGCCATGTGCAAACCAAGAAGAGAGACCTTCAAGAAATTGAATTTGTCAACACCTTGATCTTGGATTCCTGCCTCCAGATGTGAGGAGGATAACATCTGCTTTTTAAGCCACCTAGCTGTGCTATTTTGTTACGGGGGCCCCAGGGCGCTAAGCTAGGAGATGCTTGCCAACAAGTCACAAGGAAGTTTTGCCAGGTTTCACTATCTCCTTATGAGTGCATTTACCTGTGGGCAAGCAAGGACAGTGCTTGAATTCCTCTACACACCCTCAGGCTCTGCGGTCTTTGTCCAAGATTCTAGCCGCTGACCAGCATCTCTCCCCACTCCTCTCTAAGACCACCCTTGCGCTGGGGAGCCTGGAAGCTCAAAATCTGTGTTTGGAGAACTGCATGCAGCCAGAGGACTCGGTACACACGATTCAGACTCTGTCCTGTTGAGACAGTTGTGTGAAATTCGGAAGGCAGAAGAACGGGGCGGGCAACATTTCAGGAGCAATGACAACTTACAGGTGATCTTTGGCCGATTAGTCTACACTGGCTTTGGGAAGAGTCTTCTGGCTCAGCCACAACCTTCGTGAGTGTGGTGGCTCAGTTGCCAATAGCGGGGGGACCAGTGATAACGGCAGCGCCTTGGCCCGGATCACAGCAGCAGTGATGGGCTGTTACAGACCACGGGCCTCACTTCCATTCCTCTAGACTCACTAATGATTTGGCAAAGATGTGATCCCCTGGGTTAAAGCAATTTCAGCTTGAAATGCCAGGATTCTTTCTGTTTCCTATGCTGAACTCTGAATGTGTTGGGTGATTTTCTGTTAATGTAAAAGGGGGTTTTTACCAGAAAAGAGTGGAAGCAACCCCATAAGACTATTTTAGCACAATCAGGCTAGACTGGGAGAAGGCAAGGAAATATTTCAGCACCCTCACTCGGATACATCAAGCCTCCCCTAAACAGATCGATCGCCTCCTGGTTTCCTATGATATTAAACATGCATCCTGTTTTCAAGTCAGTGCCAGGCACAGAGGGAGAAAATGAATGAACAAGGTTAAAATTTAAAAAGAAATAGAAATGGACAATGGATAATGGATTAGACGGTAAAACAAAGTAACGGCGATTACAACAATGTGATTTTGCTGTATTGTTCACCTTGCAAGGGCCAGTTTAGGAAAAGCTAACAGTTGTGTGTATGAAAATTCTCATCCTAACCTGTGCTCCTGCTTGTTATTCCTGCCCACGTGGGGTTTCATATATGGGGATTCCTGTTCCTGTCACAGTCTCCAAGGTAAAGGATTTATGAAACAAGTATGCAACCACTTTATGAGAGAGCATCCCCTTCAAAATGAAGATATGTATTGCATCCTAGAGCTTCCATAACC